GCCCACATCACCGTCACGAGGATCGTGTCCTCACGGATCGCGCCCTTGACCATCTCGGCCGTGACCACGCCGTCCGCGCCGGGGTCGAGGAACGTGACGTCGAACCCCTCCTTCGCCAGACGCTTGCACGGGTCGATCACGGCTTTGTGCTCGTGCGCCACGGTGATGATGTGCCCGCGTCCGCTCTCGCCGGCCGGCTTCTTCGCGTACATGTTCGCGGCACCCTTGATGGCGAGGTTGTTCCCCTCCGTCGAGCCGCTCGTGAAGATGACTTCCTTGGGCTGCGCGCCGATGAGCTTCGCGGCCTGCTCGCGCGCGGTGTCGACCGCGCTCTCCGCCGCCCAGCCGAACGCGTGGTTGCGGGAGCCGGGGTTGCCGAAGTTCTCGGTGAAGTACGGCAGCATCGCCTCGACGACCCGGGGGTCGCAGGGGGTGGTGGCCGCGTGATCCATGTAAATCGGGAGCTTCACGTGTCGTTTTCCTTTGCGAACTTTCAAACCCGCGCCGGGTGCGCGGGCGACGGGTCGAACCCGAAACCTGAGCCGGGGCCCGATGGCCCTCGACGGAATCCCTTTTAGAACAATTCAATTCTAGACCGGCCGTCCGCTATGGGCACGCCCCGGGACCCATGAAAGTACCCCATTTTTCAATGGACAATGGGGTCTTCAATTGGGCGGACGCGTCAGTCCTGGAGCATCCGGAGCTCGTCGCGCAGGATCGCCGCGAGCTCGTAGTTCTCCTGCTCGACCGCGACGCGGAGGCGCTCGCGCAGTTCGTTCTTCTGGCTCGCGGGGAGCTTGAGCACCAGCTCGTCGCGCATCCCGCGGAGGAGCTGCACCTCGGGCGTGTCCTCGAACGACTCGAGCTGGTCCCACGACTCGTAGACGCCCTTGATGAGCTCGATCCCGTCGTCGATCACCGCGAGCGCCGCCTTGCCCTCCTTGGACTCGACCATGAGGCTGGCGTACGCCCGTGTCTGCATCATCGTGATGTAGGGGCGGAACTGCTCGAGGATGTTCCGGTCTTCTTCGCTCTGCGCAAAGTCGCGGCAGAGCTCGAGCACGCGCATGTTTCGGGAGGTGTCGCGGATCACGCCCTCGTGCTCGCCCAGGACGAGCAGCGCCACGTAGCGGTGGTAGTACTGCACCGCCTCTTCGCGGAGCTGGCGGCAGTCCTCGGGCGTCAGGAAGCGTCGACCGCCGCCGGGGCCGAACTCGCCCTCGGCCATGCCGAACTCGCCGTCGTCCTCGTCGTCGTCGTCCGGATCACCGGAAAGCGACATCTCCTCGATCATCTGCTCGTAGTACTCCAGGAGCGAGTCGAACCCGTGGGGGTGGACGCCGTCGGGGCGGCCGCTCATCTCCATCTGGATGACGCCAAGATCGAGGCGCATCTGGATTTTCGGACGTCCGTCCTCGCCCTCGATGAGGCGAACGTTCACCTGACCGGGCTCGTAGGGCCATTCCTTGAGAAGCTGGGTGAGATCGAGGCTCATCGGGTCCTCCTGGGTGCTCGTGAAGCATATCACGCCCCTGAGATGCATCCGCGGGCTTCCGGGCAACGTATACGGACGAGATCGGCCTTCCGAGGCGTCGTATTGCTCAAAGATCGGACGGACCATACGATTTCGCGTCCGCATCCCTTCCACCGCTGGCCGACCTTGACGATCCGCCCGAAGTGATACCCACCCATGGCCCGATCGGAACTCGAAACCGACCTGCAGATCTACTTGCGTGAGATCAACATGTACAACCTCCTCACGCCCGAGGAGGAGAAGCTGTACGGGTGGCAGGTCATCAACGATTCGTGCCCCGGCGCGCGCGAGTGCCTGGTCCGCTCCAACCTCCGCCTCGTCGTCTCGATCGCGAAGCACTACCGCAACCGCGGCCTCTCGTTCACTGACCTGATCGAGGAGGGGAACATCGGCCTGATCCGCGCCGTCGAGGGCTTCGACCCGGCGCAGGGCGCGCGCTTCTCGACGTACGCGTCGTGGTGGATCAAACAGGCGATCAAGCGGGCGCTCATCAACGCCAACCAGCCGATCCACATCCCGGCGTACATGGTCGAGCTCATCGCCAAGTGGAAGCAGGCGTGCCGCCTCTTCGAGGACGAGCACCAGCGTCAGCCCACCGTCGAGGAGCTCTCGCGCATCCTCGACGTGCCCGTCAAGAAGGTCTCGATCATCAAGTCCGCCGGCAAGGCGTTCAGCTCGTCCTCGCAGGCCCCGCTCGGGGAGGACGGCGAGCCGCTCAACTTCTCCGACTCGCTCATGGATCAGTCCGCCTCCAAGCCGGAGGACATGGTGCTGCAGTCCGACGAGCTCGAGACGATCTACAAGCTGCTCGACGCCATCGACGAGCGCGAGGCGCGCGTCCTGCGGCTCCGCTTCGGTCTCGACGGCAAGGAGCCGCTCACGCTCAAGCAGATCGGCCAGGAGATCAACCTCACACGCGAGCGCGTCCGCCAGATCGAGGCCGAGGCGCTCCGCAAGCTCAACCAGCGCCTGCTCGACGAGAAGCCGAGCCGGTTCTTCCGCAAGAGGAACCAGCCGCAGGAACAGGAAGCCGACCGGGAAACCGCGTAAAAGGCGCGCCGATTCGCATCAACGGGCGGGGCCGCCCCGCCGTTCTCTGTCGTGGGAGGCAGCGACGTGTTCGATCAGTACCGAAACGCAGGCCGGGTCGCGTCGGTCGCGGCGCTGCTCCTGCTCGCCTCGTGCGAGGAACCGCCGCCCCCGAAGCCGGCCCTCTCGCTTATCGAGGCCGTGCAGCAGAACAACGAGACCGACATCGAGCTCAACCTCTACTGGGACCTCGATCTCGACGCGACCGACGACTACGGCAACACCGCGCTGCACCACGCCGTCCGCGCGAACAACGCCTCCGTCGTGAGCGATCTCATCACGGGCGGGGTCGACCCGACCATCCGCAACGCCGCCGGCAACAACCCCGTCGACACCGCCGCGAGGCTCGGCCATACCCAGATCATCCGCACCATGCGCAACCTCGGCGTCGAGATCCGCATGCCGGACGACGCGGGCGGCACCGCGATGCACCACGCCGCGAAAGAGGGCTATCCGGAGACCGTCAAGGCGCTCATCGAATTCGGGCTCGACCCCGCGGAGGCCGCCCTCACCGGGCACACCCCGCTCCACCTCGCGGCGCAGTTCAATCACCCCGAGGTCATCGAGGCGCTCATCGAGGCCGGTGCGCCGGTCAACGCGGCCGACAAGACCGGCACCACGCCCCTGCTCATCGCGTCGCGGGCGCGCTCGACCGAAGCCGTCGTCGCCCTCACCGCCGCCGGCGCCGACTACACCGTCGAGGACGCCACCGGCATCTCGCCGCTCGTCTACGCCCTGCTCGGCAACGAGGTGGAGATCGGGCGGATCCTCATCGAAGCCGGAGCCGATCCCCACGCCCGCATCACCGGAACGCGCATGCGGCTCATCCACCAGGCCGCGGCCAAGGGCAGCACCGAGTTCATCGAGCTGCTCGTGGATCTCGGCGCGGACATTAACGAGCTCGACGCGGACAACGCCACGCCGATCTTCCACGCCACCGCCGGCGGACACATCGACACGGTCCTGCGGCTCATCGAGATGGGCGTCGACCCGAAAGAGCGAGGGCCCCTCGACCGGACCCTGCTCCACATCCCCGCGTACGTCGGCAACACCGAGATGGTCGCGATGCTCATCGAGCAGGGCGTCCCGCTCGACGCGGCCGACAGCGAGGGCGGCACCGCGCTGCACCTGGCGGCCGCGACGGGCAAGCTCGAGACGTGCCGCGTCCTGCTCGACGCCGGCGCCAACCCGAATATCCTGGCCCGGAACGGGGCGAGCCCCTTCCTCATCGCGAGCACGTCGGGCCACTCGGAGGTCGCGAAGCTCATCAACGAATACGTGCAGGAGCGCCGGTACACCGTCCCGACGTTCGGCGGCACGAACCGCTGAGCGTCCCGGCGGTATATCATCGCATGACCGCCACCATGACGACGCCCGACCCCGATACCCAGACCATCGCCCCAGCCACGCGCGAGGTCTGCCGGCTGCGGGGCATCGAGAAGACCTACTACAAGCCCGACGGCTCGGTGCTCGTCCAGGCCCTCAAGGGCGTGGACATCACCATCCAGGCCGGCGAGTACGTCGCCATCATGGGCCCTTCCGGCTCCGGCAAGTCCACCATCATGAACATCCTGGGCTGCCTCGATCAGCCAAGCGCCGGCAACTACTTCCTCGACGGGAAAGACGTCTCCACGCTCGAGGACGAGGAACTCTCGTCCTATCGCGGCAAGAAGATCGGCTTCGTCTTCCAGGCCTTCAACCTCATCAGCCAGCTCACGATCGAGGAAAACGTCGAGGTCCCCCTCTTCTACCAGCACATCGACAAGGACACCCGCAAGCAGCGCGCCCAGGCCAAGCTCGACCTCGTCGGGCTGGGCGACCGCATGGGCCACCGGCCGTCCGAGCTCTCCGGCGGCCAGCAGCAGCGCGCCGCGATCGCCCGCGCGCTCGTCACGGAGCCCGTCGTCCTGATGGCCGACGAGCCGACGGGCAACCTTGACTCCAAGACCGGCGAGGCGATCCTCGAGCTCGTCGAGAACCTGCACGCGCAGGGCATGACCATCATCATGGTGACGCACGACGACGCGATCGCCGATCGGTGCGAGCGCATCATCCGGCTGCGCGACGGACTGGTCGAGACCGACCGACGCCTGCGCACCCGCGAGAAATCGGGCGAACAGTCGCACGCGCTCACGTGAACCCGTCGGCACGCGTGCGCGCTCAACACACGAAACCTGCGCAAGAAAAAAACCGAACCGGCGCCAAGAAGGCGCCAGGTCCGGCTTCCGGGGGGCAAGTGGTTGTTCTTTAACCTACCCAAACATGTGGGGGATGTCCAGCACCATGCCGAAGAATCTTCGGCACGTATATTCCAGCTTCTGATCGACCTTTTTTTATGAGGTCACGCCCCCCACTCTCCGTGGGTACGATGGAAATCATGCGAATTCTCGGCATCGATCCCGGGTTGAGCCGGACCGGATTCTCGGTCCTGGAGGTCGACTCGGACCGACCGGCGAGCCCCCCCGCCGTCATCGAAGCGGGCCATTTTCGATTCGATCCGAAGCGATCCGTCGCCTCGCGCCTCGCCGAACTCGAGCGCGACCTCGACGGCGCCGTCGCGCGCACCAAGCCGACTCACGCCGCCGTCGAGGCGATCTACTCCCACGGCGAGTTCCCGCGCACGGCCATCACGATGGCGCACGCACGCGGCGTCGTGCTCCTGTGCCTCGAGCGCGCGAAGATCGAGGTGCTCGAACTCCCCGCCAACACGATCAAGAAGGCCGTCGCGGGCCACGGCCACGCGTCGAAGGAGCAGATCGCGCACGCCGTGGCGTCGATCCTCGCGCTCGACGCGCCGCCGGAGCCGGCGGACGTCGCGGACGCGATGGCCATCGCGCTGTGCGCCTCGACCCGCCTGCTCGCCGAGACCGCCGGCTAGCGCCGGCGCCACGCCTCGCGCAACTCCGGATCGAAGACCCGGACCTCGCCCGCGTCGGCGCGCAGCCTCGTGGCGAGCTCGCTCATCAGGATCCGCTCGCGGCGCAGTCGCGCCTCGTGCGCCAGCTGCGCCCGGACGGATTCGAACGGCGGCGCGTCGGCCGCCGGCGGCTCGACACGCTCGAGGCGCACCACCGCGAAACCCTCTTCCAGAGCCACCGCCACGCTCGTTCCGCCCGGCGCGAGCTTCGCCACCGCCTCGCGCACCGCGAGCGGGTAGCTCTCGTCGCTCGTGCTCATCGGCCCGATCAGCCCGCCGCGTGACGCGCTCACGTCCGTCGAGAACCGCGACGCCAGCTCGGCGAAATCCGCCCCGTCCCTGGCGAGCTCCGAGACCCGCGTCGCCTCCTCGAGCGTGGGCGAGGTGATCAGGCGCACCACGCGCCGCTCACCGTGCTGCGTCGCGTACGCCCGGCGGAGCTCCGGCTCCGTCGGCGCCGACGCCGGCTCGATGAGCGCGCGGAGCATCGCGTTGCGTCGGATCAGGTCCGCCCAGCGCAGCTCGCCGAGCCCGCGCTCGCGACGGACGCGCTCGAGCAGCCGGGCCGCGTCGCCCGACGTCGGCGCCACACCGGCGCCGACGATCGCCTGCGTGATCAGCGATTCCTCTCGCGCGAGCGCCGAGTCGTCGATCGTGATCGACGCTTCGGCGCAGAGCCGCTCGAGCCGGAGGTCGAGCAGCATCTCCTCCAGCACCGCTCGGCCCGACGATTCGATCAGCCTGGGCGTCAGCTCCCCCCAACGCACCCCGACACCGCCCGCTTCCGCGACCACGCGAAGGTCGCCCGAGGCCTCCGGCTGTCCCTCCGCGCGGCGGACCTCGCGCCCGGTGGTGACCGAGCGTTCGGCCCGGTCCAGACCGCTCGTGGTCGTCTCGCCGCCGGATCCGGCGCACCCGACCAGCAATCCCGCGACGACACCCGCGAAGGCGAGAGTCCCCGGGAACGAACCGAACCGCCCACGCGTCTGACTCGAATATCCTGTCATCATGGATGGATCTCACCGCTCCCGCGACCGGTTGTCAACGCGGCCGATCGATCCCGGCCCCTAGAATCGCACGCGACATGAACGACACACCCGACCCCGCACACACCGACGCCGACGCCGCGTCCGACGCCGACGCACGCGTCACCACGCTCCCCTGCCCCTACTGCGGCGCGGGCAACCCCTCGAACGCGTACGAGTGCGACGCCTGCGGCGGCATCTTCGAGCCGCTCTCGCGCCAGGCGACCCAGAACGCGATGGGCCCGTGGTTCGTCCGCGACACCGACAGCCCCTTCTCGCCCGGCTGCTCGTACGAGACCCTCCGCAAGCTCGTGCGTCGCGGGCGCGTCGTCGCGACCACCGTCGTGCGGGGGCCGTCCACCAACCAGTTCTGGATGCACGCGAAGGACACCCCGGGCGTCGCCATCCTGCTCGGCATGTGCCATACGTGCCATGCCGAGGCGAGGCCGGAGGATTTCTCCTGCAGCAGCTGCGGGAGCGTGCTCTCGCCCGCGACGTCCCGCGACGCGCTCGGCCTCGCGCCGGTCATGCCGGTGAACCGCTCGCCCATCGCCGCGCCGGTCACGCCCTCCCCGACGAGCGAGGCGGCAAAGGCGCTCACCCTCGGCGGCTTCGTCCCCATCACCTCGCCGAACGACACGCGCAACGCCAACACCGTCGGCTCGACGCTCTCGCCCTACCTCGACAGCGCCGCGACCACGCGACCGGCGCGTCCTGAAGCGCCAAGCGCCCCCCCGCCGGCGCCACGGCCGCGTCAGCAGGCGCCGACGCGTTCCGAGCACGTCGGCCCGCCGCCCGAGCATCAGGCAACGCTCCGCCGGCTCCGCACGCAGATGCGCTCGACCAGGATGATGAACGTCGTCCTGCTCATCGTCTGCGGGCTGCTCGCCGTCGGACTCGTCCTCGCGATCGTTCTGCCGGGCGTCCTGGAGCCCAGGTCCGCCGACGCGCCGAAGCGGGAGATGACCCCGACCACCAGCGAACCGGCCGCGGCCCGTCAGGATGAAACACCAACACCCGCCACGCGTCCCTCGGGCGCTCTTCAGAGCGTGATCCGGGACGCTCGCGAGATCGCCTCGGGCGGCACCGAGGAGTCGCTCGAGCGGGCGGTCGCCCTGCTCACCACCCGTCTCGTCGAACTGGAAGCGGCGGACGCCGATCAGGCGACACTCGACCGCCTACAGACCGAGATCGATCGGCTGAACAACGAGCTCGACGACCTGCGCCTCGACCGCGCGCTCAACGCGCCGTCGGGCGACTCTCGCTGAGCCATTCGCGGAACGATTCGAAGATCTCCCCGTTCGCTTCGGGGAATTCGTGGGATTCCAGCTCGCCGAGCCCGATCCACTTCAGATCCGCCACCTCGATCGCCCGCGCTTCCTGGTCCGAGTCCGTGCGGACGCAGACCCGCGGGTGGAGGCGGACTGACCCGTGCGGGTAGGTGTGCTCGACTGATTTCAAATTGTGGATAACTCGTATGTTGAGCCCGACCTCTTCCCGAATTTCCCGCTCGATGCAGGAATCGATGTCCTCCCCACGCTCCCCTTTCCCGCCCGGGAGCTCCCAGTAGCCCGCGTACACGGTCCCGGAGGGCCGTCTGGTGATCAGGAAACGGCATGTGGACAGTCGGTGATCAACTCCATTGCCCAGGTGTTCCAGGGGAACCGAGAGCACAACGGCGATTCCGACGTCGATCGGGCCTTTTCCGGATTGCTCAGATGGGCTCATTTTTTATATCTGCTTGATTTCCAGTCGTTTACAACAATCTTTCGATGTTCGAACACTGCCCATTGACGGCAACGAAGAGTCGCCTACGCTAGTCTATATCGCTCGTCGCGACCGCTTCTCCGGCGCGATTGAGGGGGAGGTACAGACACCACTCACGGCACCATTGCCGTGGCACGCCGTCGGTCGAGGATCGGAGCCCTTGACCGACGGTTTTCTTTTTGCGCGCAGTTGTCGCGAACGTGACGCGTTCGCGCGCGAAATGCACACGAAGTGTCGCGAACGCGTTTTTCTGCACACGCGAACGAACGTCCGATCACTCCGCGTCATCGCGCAGCGCATCGAACGGGTTGCGCAGCGTCCAGTGCGCGAGCGTTTCGATGATGAGCCACGCTTCGAGCGCGAGCGTGAAGCACGCGATGACCACAAGGAGCCAGTTCGCTTGTGTGACCCACGACGGGTTCTCCGCGTTGCCGATGAACGCCTGCCACGTCATCGCGCTCGCGGGCACCGCGAGCATGAACAGCGCGGGCAGCGCGATGAACCACACCGGCTTGCGACGCACGAGCAGCCACGACGTGATCACGATGAACGCGAACCCGCCCAGCAGCTGGTTCGTCGCGCCGAAGAGCGGCCAGAGGATGAGCCCACCCGACCCCGCGTTCGCGAACGTCCACGCCTGACCGGGCGGCGGCGCCACCGCGAGCGCGAACGCCGTGAGCACCGCGAAGAGCGTCGCGCCGTGCGTGCTCACGAGCCACCGGAACGGGTTGAACACGGACGCCGCCTCCGGCTTCACGCCCACCGCCGCTTTCGACGGGACGAACATCGTGCCGCACTCGGGGCAGGAAGAGGGGATTGCGCCATTCCGGGATTCGCCATTCCGGGGCGCATCATTCGGCACGTTCGCATCACCCGGAATCCCGAAATCCCGAATTCCCGCAATCCCCTTCAAATGCCCCCGCATGTCGTACCCGCACGACGCGCAGTCCGTCTCCAGCCGCTTGGGCAGGAACGTCCGGCTCAATTCCTGCACGACGTATCGCTGGAGCCGGCACGCCGTGTCCATCGTCGTGCCCGCGAAGGACGCGACGAGCACCGCCATCAGCGCGAGCCCGACGGGGCGCGGGATGCCCGTCGACGCGATGAGGTTGGCCGAGCCCTGCACGAACGCGCCAACCTTTGCGCCGAGCGAGCCGGCCTCCTGCCAGGAGGCGTACGTCTTCTCGAACGCGACGGGGCCGTCGAGCAGGACCGACGCGTGATCCTCGGCCACGCGGATCCGCCCGGTGGGGAGGGGAACCCACAACGCTTTGCGTTCGTCCGTCAGCTTCAGGACCGGATCGATCGGCCCCTCGCGACCGTCCTCGGTGATCTCGAAGACCCACCCGTCCATGGTCCCGCTGGACCCGTAGCTCGTGACATCCCCCTCGTGCCGGTAGACCTCGAAGCTCTCGATCGTCGGCTTTTCCAGAGGTGGCGCTGCTAATGTCGCGCTATCGAGCGTCGACTCGTCGTACCGATCGCTCCTGTGTACGAGGACGTACAGCCCGTCGTCCGGGTTCTCTGTCGTCCGATCGTCGATCGGCACGACGTTGTAGTGCGACCTCTCGGTCACGCCCGAGCCGTCGCTCGACATCATCTGCGATCCGTAGATGAGCTTCTGCGACGCGCCGAGCCCGATCCCCGCCACGCACGACGCGATCACGAGCGTCGCGAGGAACCCCTCCGTCAGCATCGAGCCGTACCCCACCGCCGTCGCGTCCGTCTCCTTCTTGAGCTGTTTGCTCGTCGTGCCCGATCCGACGAGGCAGTGGAACCCCGAGCACGCCCCGCACGCGATCGTGATGAAGAGCACCGGCAGCATCGGCGGCGCGCCGATCGGCTGCCACTCCACCATCGGCGCGACGATCGACAGCTCCCGGCGCGTCTCCTCCACCGCCGTCATCACCTCCCCGCTCGCCCCCCCGGTCGCCGCCACCACGCCCACCCCGTCCGGCGCCCCACCCAGGATCCCCGCGACGACCAGCCCCACCACCAGCACCCCGAGCGACGTGATGAGCTGCAGCGCGTTGATGTAGTCCCGCGGCTGGAGCAGCGTCCACACCGGCAGCACCGACGCGACGTACGCATAGATCAGCAGCGCCCCCACCCACGCCCACGTGGGGAGTGCCGCGAGGGCCGTGTTCACCTCGTGCAGGAAGCCGACGTCCCCGAAGATCACCGAGAGGTACATGAGCCCCAGCGCGACGGCCGACGGCAGCACGATCGACTTGCCCTTGCGGTGGATCACCAACCCGATCACGAGCGCGATCGGCACCTGGATGAGCACCGGCGTGATGGCGCTGGGGTACTGGCGGAGCACGGCCGCGACGACGAGGCCGAAGATCGCGAGCACGATCCACAGGCCCATGATGAGGATGAACAGGAAGATGAGCCGCGCCCGCGGGCCGAGCAGGTCGCCCGCGATGTCCCCGATCGACCGCCCTTTGCTCCGCAGGCTCACGACGAGCGAGCCGAGGTCGTGCACCGCGCCGACGAAGATTGACCCGAAGACCACCCAGAGGATCGCCGGGAGCCACCCCCACATCACCGCGATCGCCGGCCCGACGATCGGCCCGGTCCCCGCGATGGACGTGAAGTGGTGCCCGAAGACGATCGACTTCTTCGTCGGGACGAAGTCGCTGCCGTCCTCGAGTTCCGTCGCGGGCGTCACCGCGTCGTCGCGGAGATCGAAGACGCGCCGGGAGAGCCACCGGGCGTACGTGAAGTACGCGAGGAGCAGGCACGCGCCGGCGGCGAGGACGAGGAGGAGGGCGTCCATGAGGTGTGAGTGTAAAGACTCGCGGGCGAGCCGGGTGTTCCGCGCCTCACGCCACGAGCAACGCGAGCACGCGGCCGACTCCGACAATCCCGTAGAGCAGGGCGAGCACGAGCAGGACGTACGCCCCGAAGAGACGGCTGGCGTGACCCACGCCCCACGAAATCATGACGATGAACCCGGGGACAATCAGCGCGCCGATGCACCCGCCGACGATCTCGCCCAGCTCGTAGGACGACAGGACCGCGGACTCCGACGCCTCCAGCTCGCGGACCACGTGAGCGGCGCAGGTCAGGGCCCACGCAAAGAACAACGCCACGCCCCCCACGACGTGCAACGCGAGCGCAACCGGGCCCATCGGCGGCCGGTCCCCCGGCGGCATGGCGAACTCGTCGATCTTGCTTTTTCGACTCTTCACAAGGCACACCTCTTACGGAAGTGTCGAATCGATCACCCCTGAAGCCGCCGCCCGCACCTCGTCCAGGTGCAGCACGTACCCCTCGTACCCCGACAGCGCCATCTCGACCGCGATCGCGACAAGCAGCATCCCCATGAGCCGCTCCAGCGCCGCCAGCCCGCGCTTGCCGAGCTTGGACGCCAGCGCGTTGCCCACCATGAGCACGAGCGACGCCCCGAGCCACGCGATGACCACCGCGCCGAGCCACGTCGGCCACGCGTCCGCCTGCTCCCCGCTCCCGAGGAGCATCACCATCGCCAGCGCCGACGGCCCGGCGAAGAGCGGCACCGCGAGCGGCACGATGAACGGCTCGCCCAGGTCCTCCGACGACATCGAGATCCGGATCGACGGGAAGATCATCGGGATCGAGAGCAGGAGCAGGATCATCGCCCCCGCGAGCTGCAGCGCGGGCTGCGTGATGTGGAGCACGCCCAGGATGTACTTGCCCAGGAACAGGAAGAGCACGAGCGCGACGAGCGCGAAGAGCAGCTCCCGGATCAGCACCGGCCGGCGCCGGTTCTCGGGCAGCTTCCCGAGGATCGCGCTGAACAGGGGGATGAGCCCGATGGGGTCGATGATGAAGAAGAGGAGGACGGCGGTGGAGAGCATGGGGGGAGTGTAGGCGGGGGGGAAGGGGGCTTACCCGCCGCCGAGACGCCTCTGCACTTCCAGCTCCGCCTGGGTCGCGTCCCTGGACTTCTGTTCCAGTTCGGCCACACGCCCCGAGATCTCCTGCAATTCCGCGACATCCTCATCCGTGCTGAACAGGAGCATCTGCTGCTCCGGGTCGTATTCCCACGTGCCCCATTTCTCGATATAGAACCCGAAGAGCTCACCCATCGCCGCCATGTATTCGACGTCGACTTCCAGCGTCCGCGCACTCGCGCCGCGCATCTCTATCAACGGCCGTGCCGCCGCCTGCGCGAACTCGGGGCTGACACCGTCCGCGACGAGCCGCTCGCGCACCTGGGTCGCGAACGCCCGCTGCTTTTTCGCCCAATCCGAAGCGGCCTCCGCCAGCTCCTCGGTCATCGCGACCCGATGCCGGAGTTCCTCGACATCCTGCACCGCCGTCACGTCGTACCAGCCCTCCTCCTGCAGCCCGGTCAGCGCCCGGTCGTACACGGCCTCGACCTCAACCATCTCCTCGTAGATCGCGCTCATCACCTCGAAGAGTTTCTTCTGATCGCCCGTCGAGCCCGCCGCCGCGTTCGCGAGGCGCTCGCTCTGGGACCGGGAGATGTTCTCATCGCCGATCGGGATCGGCTCGCCGGCTTCGATCATCCGCTGGTGCTCCGCCACCATCTCCTGCCCGCTGGAACGCAGCTCCGTGATCACGTCGCGGTTCGCTTCCGGATCGTCCGCGCCGAGGATCCCCGTCAGAGCGACAGCCGCCAGCGCGGCCGCGGCGGAAACCCCGGCGATCGTGCCGACCTGCTGCTTCCGCCCCATCACCTTGTACGCGACCCACCCGGTGAACATCGGGATCAAGAGCGCCACGATCCCGCGTATCGCGTACCCCACCCCGACGGACACGTCGTCCATCCCCTCGCTCTGGATCGAGAGCCAGTAGATCTGCGCCGGGACGGCGAGAAGCAGGGCGACGAAAAAGACAATCGTGTGGCTGTAAGCGGGTTCTTTGTTGGACATAAGTGGGAGGATACTTATGTCGAGGGGGTGCGCCTAGTCCGAATCCGTCTCCGCCAGCCTCGGCGGCACGAACGTCCCGTCCCCCACACTCGCCGGCTCGCCCGTGAGCAGCCACGACTCGAACTCCGGCGGGAACGGGGCGAGGCCGAGGCGTTCGCGGGCGGTGCGATCGGTCTCCAGGAGCCTTGCGATCTCTTCCGGATCGCAATCCAGCACCGCCCACCCCGCACCGCTCGCAACGCACAGATGGAAGGACGGGTCCTCGATCACACGCCGGTGCTGCCGATTGATCGAGACAATCACATCCCCAGACTTCGACCGGTACGCGTCCGCCTCCCGGCTGAACCAGCACCCCGAGAGGTACTCCCACGACGCTCCACCGACACCAAGCCGCTTCGCCTCATCAAGGATCGCCGTCCTGTTCACGTTCCCGCCGAGGATGTCCTCGCACTCGATCGTGCCGAACTTGTACTCCTCAACACGCCGCAGCATGCAGAACGGACGCGTCGTGCCGGGGTAATAGTCGATCGAATCCCCGACCAGCACGTGGCAGGTCTCCGGGAGTGTGCCGCTTTGTTCGAGGTGCGCGTGGATCGCCAGCACCCATCCCCGCTGATCAGCGCTGATCTGGATCAGCGTCGCGCCGCACTGAATGCGGGTCCGCGGGATCAGGAGGAAGCCGATCACGCACGACAGCATGAGCACGCACGGAATCAGGAACTTCCACGACCTGATCCACTTCATTCGGGCGCCTCACTCGAGATCTTCAGCCGAGGCGGCACGAACGTCCCGTCCCCCACGCTCGCCGGCTCGCCCGTGAGCAGCCACGACTCGAACTCCGGCGGGAACGGGGCGAGGCCGAGGCGTTCGCGGGCGGCTTTGTCGACATCGAGAATCCGACGGATCTCCGCCCCTTCGCGGTCATACTTGAAGCCCGAAAACTCAATATGTCCATCGGCGAACGCGAAGTAGACGAGCGTGCCGTATTTCTTATCCCGTATGCGCCCCATCGCAACGATCGTCTCAGAACTTCCCGCTTCCCAATCTCTTTTATCGCGAGAGAACCAGAAATCCGTGATCGGTTCCCAGGACCACTCACCGACGCCTAATGCTTTTGCCGTGCTTCGCAGAGCTTCGGCGGACGTCTCGAACGCTTCGATTTTCCGACAGTCATGCGGTCCGAAGTAGAACTCATCCTGTCCGTGCAGATGATCACGACAAGCAAAGCCGGGCTTGAACGCGACCGGGTATGCGCCAGCGTACCGCTCGTGAAACAGCAAGTGATAGGTTTCCGGCAATTCGCCTTGCTCGTCGTAGATTGTAATGATTCCGGACACCCAATTTCGCAGACCCGACGAATAAGTCAACGGCCGCACCGGACCCATTCGCCCTTGCGCAGGTAAGAGCAACCCGATCACGAGCACGATCAGAAAAAGCGCATAGAGCGAGAGAAGGATTCGACCTGCTACTGATCGCGGCATAGAGCCCTATCCGATCCTCACGAGCCGAGGGTTGCCTACCGCAACCCATACTCCTTCAGCTTCCGATACAGAGTCCGCTCCCCGATCCCAAGAAGCTTCGCCGTCTGCTCGCGGTTGCCCCCCGTGAGGCGCAACGTCTCGCGGATCGCGCGCTTCTCGAGCTGTTCGAGGGACGTGCCGGCCAAAGAGCCGTTGCTCGGGCTCGCGCCCTGCTCGATCGCGCCGTCGGCATCATCAGACAGGCGGATCTCGTCCGGGATGTGCTTCGCGTCGACCGTCGCGGGGTCCTCGGGCGTGTCGGCGAGGGCCATCACCGTCATGTTCTGCACCGTGTTCAGAAGCTGCCGCACGTTTCCCGGCCAGTTGTACGCGGTCAGGCGCAAAAGGGCCGCGTCCGTGATCTCGGGGACCTGTCGGCCCATCTCGCCCGCGCTGCGCGCCACGGCGTGTTTCACGATGCGCGGGATGTCCTCGCGCCGATCCCGCAACGGCGGCAGGTGGATGTGCGCGCCGTTGATGCGGAAGTACAGGTCCTGGCGGAACTCGCCCGAACTCGACGCCTTCGTCAGGTCTCGGTTCGTCGCGCTCACGAAGCGCACGTCCACGTTCTTCGACGCGTTGGCGCCCAGCCGCACCACCTCGCCCGACTCCAGCACTCGGAGGAGCTTCGCCTGCATCGCGAGCGGCATGTCGCCGATCTCGTCGAGGAAGAGCGTCCCGCCGTCCGCGTACTCGAAGACGCCCTCGCGGTCCTTGTCCGCACCCGTGAACGCGCCCTTGACGTGCCCGAAGAGCTGGTCCTCGAGCAACGACTCCGCCTGACCGGCGCAGTTCAGGGTGACAAAGCGCTTGGCCTTCCGGGGCGAGTTCTTGTGCACCGCCTGCGCGATGAGCTCCTTGCCCGTCCCCGATTCGCCCGTGATGAGCACCGGCAGCGGGCTCGCCGCGACGGTCTTCACGGTCTGCAGGATCTTCCGCATCGGCTCCGAGCCCGCGATGATCCCCTCGAACCCGTCGTGCTGGACGAGTTCGGCCATCCCCTCGGAGGTGTGGCGGAGCAGCACCGTCTCGGCCGCGCGGTTCACGAGCGAGCGGAACAGCTCCAGGTCGAGCGGCTTCTCGATGAAGTCGAACGCCCCCTGCTTGAAGGCGTTGCGGGCGGTCTGGACGTCCCCGTGGGCGGTGACCATGATCGTCTCCGCCTCGCCCTGGAGGTCCCGGGCGGTCTGGAGGACGATCAGCCCCGCGTTGCCCCCATCCGCGTCGATCCCGTGCTTCCCGCCCGAGTTGGGCATGCGGAGATCGGTGATCACCACGTCGAACGTGCCGCCTTTGAGCTCCTCGATCGCGGCATCGGCGTCGTTGACGATGGTGCAGACGTGCCCGGGCTTGCGGAGGGCGTCGGCCATCACGTCCGCGTGGTCCGGCTCGTCCTCCACGATCAGGACCTGGGCGCGGAGGGGCTCGTTCGGCTTGGATTCGGCGGGAGCGGCGGTCATCGGCGTGATGGTAGCCGCACCGGCGGGGATCGACGAGAAACCCGCCTCTCCGGCCAATTGGGAAATTCCTGTTGAGGATCCGCCCACGGAGCGGGTACAGTGGCCCCTTGGGCCCGAGGGAGCCCCCTTGTTCGTACTTCCCCGCTCCGCGAGGAGCACAGGCCGGAGCCGTGCATGAATCAGGGTGTGCCGTCTGACACCTCACAGGGCTACGCGCCCCCCGTGATCACCCAGTTCAGCGTCTTCCTGGACAACCGCGTCGGCAAGCTCCACGAGCTGATGCACTCCTTCGACAAGGAGCCGGGCTGCTGGGTCTGCGGGCTCTCCGTCCACGAGGCGTCCGACCACGCCGTCGTGCGCATCATCACCAACGTCTGCGACATGGCGCGGGACATCCTCCGCATCCACTCCCTGCCGTACTCCGAGCTGGACGTCCTCGTCGTCGAGCTCGGCAACGACACCCACGCCCTGAGCGTCCTCTGCAAAGCCCTGCTCACGGCCGAGCTGAGCATCCGCTTCGCCTACCCGATGCTCCTGAACAACCCCGAGACCGGCGCCGCGTCCATCGCCCTCGCGGTGGACGACCTGACGTTCGCCGGGCAGATCCTGCGACGCAAGGGCTACCGCCTGCTCGGAGAGGCCGACCTGCCCTCCCCGGGGTCGTGCTGGTAAACCCGCGGTGCGGATCGTCCACACCAGAGCCGAACTCGACGCGCCGGAGTGCGTCCTCGTGCCCACCATGGGCGGCTTCCACGGCGGGCACGTCGCGCTGATCCGCGCCGCTTCGGCGCACGCGAAGGGCAAGCCCGTCGTCGCGACGGTCTTCGTGAACCCCGCGCAGTTCGAGGAAGCGCACGATTTCGAGAACTACCCGCGCACGCTCGAGTCCGACGCCGCGATGGCCGCGGAGGCCGGCGCGACGCACGTCTACGCCCCGAGCGTCGAGGAGGTGTACCCCGACGGGTTCTCCGTGAGCCAGTCCGACGGCAGCTTCGCCAAGGGCGGTCTCCCCTGGATCGCCACCTCACCGGGCCTTGAGGACGAGACCCGCCCGGGCCACCTGCCGGGCGTGTACCGCGTCGTGAAGCGGCTTTTCCAGCTCACGAAGTGCTCGGCCGCGGCGTTCGGAGAGAAAGACTGGCAGCAGCTCGCGCTGGTGAAGGAACTCGTGAAGCGCGAGGGCATGAGTATCGAGATCGTGCCCGTCCCCACCGTCCGCGAGCCGGACGGCATCGCGATGAGCTCCCGTAACGTCCACCTCACGAGGCCCATGCGAGAGCGCGCCCGCGGGCTCTCGCGGTGCATCGAGGAAGCCGGCCGCCACGACGACCCGGAGGCCGCGGAGAGCGCCGGGCTGGACGTCCTTACCCGCCACGGCGTCCAGCCGGAATACGTCGCGGTACGCGACGCGGAATCGCTCGGGAAAGTGCGAGAAGGCCGCCCCGCGCGGTGCCTCGTCGCGGGGCGGATCGACCACGTCCGGCTCATCGACAACGACACCTGGCCGGGGTTTTCGCTCGACGCCGCAGAAGCCTGACCGCCGCTTCACTCCGGCTGGGTGCAGTCGCCAAACTCGAAGAGCACGCAGATGAGGTCGTCGAAGTTCACGGTGCCGGAGCCGTTGCAATCGCCCGCGCAGGTTGTCGGCGGCGCGGTCGCGCCGGCGAGGAAGGTCTGGATCCCGTCGACGATGGGTCTCGTGTCGTCCTCCTCGATCCCGGACGGAGGCCACTCGTGGTCCATGATGAGCGTGACGCGTCCGCCGCCGGCGAGCATGTCCTGCTCATTCCAAATGCCACCGACGTCGTGGAGCGTGGTGCTCCCGGGCTCCGTGCCGCGTGCGAGAACGTTCTCATCGTCCGTGATCCCGCTCACCGTGCCCGCGACGAAGACACCGAGCACGTCGAGTCCGTCCGTGACACCGCCCATCGCGCCGGGATTGAAATTCGCGGCTCGGATGTTCAGTCCCGAGGCGCCCTGCGTGAGGAGCTGGATGTTGGGCCCATCAAGAACCGCGTTCAGGATGTTCTCGACCGCCTCGTTGTGGGCATCGACTTCGCTGATCCCGGTGAGATGCACCCCGCCGCCCCGCTGGATGAACTCGATCAGTCGATTCTGTGCATCGAGCGTGAGCGGGCCGAACCCGAGGTGCCAGACGGTGTCGAACGTCGTGAGATCACCGGCGACCTGCTCGAGCGTGTCGCGGGCGGTCACGGTGTGACCCAGGGCCTCGAGGCTCGTGATCGCCACGTCCGCGACGTTCGAATTCGACGCGCGGAGCAAGAGCACGTCGTCGGCCTGAAGCGGGGCGCTCAGCGACATGGCCAGAACAACGATTCGGACGCAGGCTCTCAGCATGCTGTGGTTCCTCTCTCTGGATGCCACTCGCTCGGGCTGTGACCCGGAGCGGGAGAATTCTCGACACTCGTGAACGGTGCGGAATTGGGCCCTGCCAGTCGGTCCGCGGGCCTGTGGGTCGAGGGGGCCACGCACGAACCGCTCGAAAGCGCTCTTTCCGCGCAGAAAGAGGCGACATCCGCCGGCAATTCATACACTACGCGCCACGATTTTTGATCCAGGAGACCCTCCCCCGTGCTCACGACCCCCCTCAAAAAATTCCACGAGTCCCACGGCGCGAAATTCGTCGATTTCGCCGGCTGGGAGATGCCCCTCACCTACTCCGGTGAGGCGGGCGGCGGCATCATCGCCGAGCACAACCGCGTCCGGAACGCCGGCGGCATCTTCGACGTCTCCCACATGGGCCGCGTGACCTTCAAGGGCCGACACGCCCGCAAGCTCCTGGAGCGCCTCTGCTCCCGACGCATCTCCGATATGCAGCCCGGGCAGTGCCGCTACTCGTTCGTCTGCAACGATCGCGGCGGCATCAAGGACGACGTCCTCGTCTACCGCAAGGACGACGACGACTTCCTCGTCGTCGTCAACGCCTCGAACCGCGAGAAGCTCGTCGCGCACTTCCACGCCATCGCCGAGCAGGGCGAGATGAAGTGCAAGATCGAGGACACGACGCTCAAGACCGCGATGCTCGCGTTCCAGGGGCCGAACGTCATGGAGATGATCGGCAAGGTTTCCAAGGAGGTCCCGACGCTCAAGCGGTACCGCTTCGTCGAGAAGAGCCTGCTGATCATGAAGCTGCTCGTCTCGCGCACCGGCTACACGGGCGAGGACGGCGTGGAGGTCATCCTCCCCGCGGGCATGGTCGAGATGGCCCTCAAGCTCCTGCTCAAGGACGTCGGCAAGCCCGGCGCGGAAGGCTCGGGCGGCATCGGCGTCGCCGGACTCGGCGCGCGGGACACCCTCCGCCTCGAAGCGGGCATGCCCCTCTACGGCAACGAGCTGGGCGAGGACATCAGCGCCCTCGCCTGCGGCATGGGCTTCGCCATGAACCTCGACAAGGACCAGGACGAGCGGGGCGAGGCCTTCATCGGCATGGAAGCGCTCAAGAAGGAAAAAGACGCCGGCGGCCCGGCCCGGATGCTCGTCGGCCTGTTCATCGACGGCAAACGCTCCGCCCGTGCGCACATGAAGGTGACAACCGACGGCAACGAGATCGGCGAGGTCACCAGCGCCTGCTCCAGCCCCACGCTCGGGCGGTGCATCGCGATGGCGTACGTCGACAAGGCGCTCGCCGAGCCGGGCACGAAGCTCGCCATCGACACCGGACGCGATTCCACCCTCGACGCCGAGGTCACCAAGCTCCCGTTCTACTCCCTGAAGAAGTGACGCCCTAGCATCGACCATGCGAGAGAGACGGATCTATCTCGACAACGCCGCGACCAGCTTCCCTAAGCCGCCCGCGGTCCACGAGGCGATGGCGAGCTACGCGACCGAGCTCGGCGCCTCGCCCGGGCGCGGCGCCTACGCCGAGTCGCGCGACGCCGGCCGCCTGATGAGCCGCTGCCGCGAGCGGATCGCGACGCTCATCAACCTCGACGCGCCGAAGAACATCGTCTTCACGCTCAATACCAGCGACGCGCTCAACATCGCCATCCGCGGCGCGCTCGACCCGCACGTCCACGCCCACCTCAAAGCCGGCGCGCCGAAGCCGCACGTCGTCACCACCGCGCTGGACCACAACTCCGTCCTCCGCCCGCTCAACGAGCTCGCCTCCCGCGGACTTATCGAGCAGACCCGCGTCCCGTGCGACCCGGTCACCGGCCTCGTCGACCCGGTCGCGATCCGCGACGCCATCACGCCGAGCACCGCGCTCGTCGCGACGCTCCACGCCTCGAACGTGAGCGGCACGGTCCAGCCGATCGCGGAGATCGGGCGGATCTGCCGCGAGCGAAACGTGCTCTTCTGCGTGGACGCGGCCCAGTCCCTCGGGCACATGCGTGTCGATATGGACGCGCTGCACGTCGACCTCCTCGCGGCGCCGGGCCACAAGGGCCTGCTCGGCCCCCTCGGCACCGGCTTCCTCGCGATCCGCCCGGGCGTCGAGGAACTGCTCTGGACCACCCGCGAGGGCGGCACAGGGAGTGTCTCGGAGCGCGACACCCAGCCGACCACCATGCCCGACCGATTCGAGGTCGGGAGCCACAACGCCATCGGCATCATCGGCCTCGCCCAGGGCGTCGCGCACCTTCTGACCGAGGGCGTCGACGCGATCGAGCAGCGCGAGGCCGAGCTGACCCAATTCATGCTTGAGCAGATCGACGGCATCGAGGGCCTCACCCTCGTCGGCGCCCCCACTCCCGAGCACCGGGTCGGCGTCTTCAGCTTCACCGTCGACGGCTTCGACCCGCACGAGGCGGCGACAGCCCTCGAAACCAGCTTCGGCGTCCTCACCCGCGCGGGCCTCCACTGCGCCCCGCACGCCCACCGCACCTTCGGAACACTCACCGACGCCAACGAGGGCACGAGCGGCGCCGGCACCGTCCGCCTGAGCCTCGGGCCGTACACGACCGAAGCCGACATCCGCCACGCCGCGGACGCCCTGGCGCAGCTCGCCGGCGCGACGGCGAAGGCCTGAATTATCTAAAACAGCAGCTGCATCTGCACGCGTAGGACCGTCTGCTCCCCGTCGTCCGCGAGGACGCCGATCGTCGAATCGCCGCCCGCGAACAGGTCGTTGCCCGTCGTGCCGTCGAGCACGTGGACGCAGTCGGCGGTGCACCTGAACGCGTGCCCGTGGATGTACCAGTTTGCGCCGAACGTGATCGTGTGCAGGTCGTCGTTGCCCGCGCGATCGTCGTCCGGCAGGAGCACGTCGTACCGGCAGAACGGCTCGATATCGTCCGTCACGAACACGCCGAACTGCGCCACGACGCCGTGATCGGTGAACGCGCCGACACCGGGTGTATCCGAGCGCCTCCCGACGTACGCCGCGAAAACGTTCCACCCGTTGCCCTTGAGGTGCGCGTCCACGGTCCACTGCAGGACATCCCGTGTGCCGCCGCCCGGGTCGCCCTCCTCGTAGTGCCCCGCGCCGCCGATCCGCCAGGCGTCCGGCGAGCCTCGGAACGAGGGGAACTCGTCGAAATCTCCCCATCCCGATGGGCCGCCCATGAGATCGAATCGCGCCGTGAACGCGTAATCGACCGCGTCCGCGTTGAAGTCCGTCGAGGTGGAGTTCAGCCCATCCGAGAACGCGAGCGAGAGGCGCGTCGTCTCGTCCTCGCGGCTCAGCACGATGCCGTCGCTATCCCCCTGCCCGAAGACGATGTTCACGGCGCTCTGGTCGACCGCCTGGCCGTAGTAGTCGAAGACCGCGTCTTCCGTGAGCAGCGGCAACGCGAGGACACCGACGCTCAGGCTCCAGTGAGTACCCAGCTCGAAGCCGATCGACGCCTCCTCGAGCACGAACGCGCCGGACGTGTCGAACACCGCCTGGATGCCGTAGCTGATCCCGCGCGGCGCGGTCCCATCGAGGCGGATCGCGGTGCGCGGGAGCGTGAAGCCGCCGACATCGTCATCACCCGCGACGGGGTCGTCACCGAGCGTGATCGTGTAGCGGGACTGCTGCTGGCCACTGAAGGTCAGCGTGTGGCCACCGTCCGGGGCCTCGAGCGTGAAGGGCGAGGCCGTCGACACGCCGGCGAGGCAGATGACGGCCAGGGACGGGGCTTGGGCGGTTTTTGTAGTCATCGCTACACCGTAGCATACGCTACAAATCTGTCAAGCCAACGAAAAAGGGAGCCCCGAAGGGCTCCCTCGCGTGGATCACGGGGTGAACGCGGGGCTCAGTTGTCCTTGCTCTCGATCGGCTTCTGCGTCATCGGGTCCTTGAGCGGGATCTCGCTCGACGCGCCGCCGTAGAACTCGGACATCGCCGCCTGGCGGTTCGGGTCGGTCTCGGTCTCGGTGTTGCCCTTGTAGATCTCGTCCCAGTCGCCGACGACGAGGATCGCCGCCTTGGTGGGGTCGATGTGCTTGCGGGCGACGGTCTGGACGTCCGCCTTGGTCACCGCCTCGACGTTGTCGCGGTAGGTGCGCCAGTAGTTCGGGTCGCGGTCCGTCCACTGGTCGTTCACGAAGATACCGAGCATCTGCCCCTTGGACTCGAAGTTACGCGGGAAGGTCTCGATGAACGAGCTCTTGGCCGTGCGGATCTCCTCGTCGGTCACCTCGTCGTTCTGGATCTTCTCGAATTCCTCGAAGATGATCCGCGTCGCGAGCGCGACGGTGAGGTTCTTCGAGGCGAACTGCGACATGAACTGCCCGGGGTACCACGGGCTGGTCTGGAAGCTCGAGCCGGCGCCGTAGGCGAGGCCCTCGTCCGACCGGACGCGGTTGAGGATGCGGCTCGTGAACCCGCCGGCGCCGAGGATGTCGTTCATCACCATCACCGGGAAGTAGTCCGGGTGGTCACGCTCGATGCCGCGGTGGCCGATGCGCACCTTGCCCTGCGGGATGTCCTTCTGGACGTAGTACACGCCGGGCTCGGGCTCGTGCTCGGGCTTCGGCGGGTCGGGCATCTCCTGGCCCGGCTCCCAGTTGCTCACGGCGCTCTCGAGGACCGCGAGCATGTCGTTGGGCGCGAAGTCGCCCGTCACCGAGATGATCAGGTTGTTGGGGTTGAAGATCATGCGGTGGAAATCGCGCATGTCCGAGACGGTGATCGAGTTGATCGACGCCTCCGTCGAGACGCGGGCCTGGTAGTGGCCCTCGCCCCACATGAGGCGGTTCCACTCGCGGGCGAGGATCGCGTCCGCGTTGTCGTTCCGCTGCTTCATGTTCTCGAGCGTCTCGTCACGGAGGATCTCGAACTTGTCCTCCTGGAAGCCCGGCGTGCGGACCATGTTCATGAACAGCTCGAACGACTGATCGAAGTTCGCGCTCAGCGTGTTCAGGCTCGCGCCGGACGTCTCGTCGCCGATGAACGCGCTGATGTTCGACGCGAGGAAGTCCACCTCCTCGTCGAAGTCGGTCGCGGGCATCGAGACCGTGCCGCCGCGACGGATCATCTGACCCGTCATCGAGGCGAGGCCGGTCTTGTTCTTGGGCTCGAGATACGAGCCGCCCTTGAACGAGAAGCTCACCGTGATGAGCGGCAGCTCGTTGGACGGCGCCATGTACACGGTCGTCCCGTTGGACAGCTCGTAGCGGTAGTCCGAGGCCGCGGGCGGCTCGAACTCGAACGGCTGGTACTCGATCTCGCTCGGGTGGCTCTTGACGGGCACGCCCGCCGCGAACGCGCCCGAGGCGATCGCCGCCAGCGCGAGAAGGGTAACGGTCTTCATCTGGGATCTCCTGACTGGAGCGTTGTTCGTGGGTGTGTGAAGGGTGCGGGCATCGACGGCGCTCATTCTTCACCGCCTTCCGCCTCGAGCTCGGCGATGCGAGACTCGACGACCTTGATCATGTACTCGAAGGCCGGGAGCATGTCCGGCTGCGCCTGCTGGACCATCGCACGCTGGGGCACCATCTGCTCCAGCGCCTCGCGCAGCGCCGCGACGTCCGTCTGCTCCTTGATCTGCTTGATCTGCGACTTGATCATCCCGACGGCCTGCGGCGGGAGGGTCGCCTCGACGGCCGCCCACTCGGGGTCGACCGCCTCGCCGGTGCCCGCCTTGCGGGTGTAGATCGCCACCGCGCGGTTCTCCTCGGCGAAGTACTCCTTCGCGACGCGCTGGATGTCCTCAGCGGTCACCTCGGCGAGCATCTTCGGGCCGTCGTTGATGTACTCCCAGTCGCCCGTCGACTCGAACAGACCGATCTGGAGCAGCAGGAAGAAGTTCGAACCGAGGCGGCGGAACGAGTCGGCCGCGACCTGGTTCTTCACCTTCTGCAGCTCACGCTCGGGCACGAGCTCGTTCTGGAGCTTCTCGAGCTCGGCGTACCACGCCTTCTCGAGGTCCTCCGGCGTCGCGTCGCCCTTGGTCGCCGCGTTGAACTCGAAGTACCCGGCGTATTTCGACGGGGCGCCGAACTGCCCGCTGGACTGGCCCGCGGCCGCGAACGACGCGATCTCCTTGCCCTCGACCATCGACTTGTAGAGACGGCCGGTGCGCCCGTTCATGACGTTGGAGAGCATCTCCAGCGCGTACGAGTCCTTGTGTTTCCACGGGACGGTGTGGTATCGAACGGCGACCTGCGGCTGGCCGTCGATCTCCGCGTAGAGCCGTTTCTCGGCGAGCTGCGGGACCTCGAGCGTGACCACGGGGGGGACGTGGCCCGTGCCCGGGGTGAGGCGGCCGAAGTACGACTCGATCATCGGCTTGACCTCGGCGGGGTCGAAATCGCCGACGACCACGCCGATGAGGTTCGAGGGCTGGTAGTACGTGTTGTAGTACTCCTCGGCCTGGTCCATCGTGTAGGAGTTCAGGTCGCTGGGCCAGCCGATGACGGGCCAGCTGTAGGGCGAGCTCGTCCAGAACATCGCGTCGAACTGCTCGTCGAACTTGCCGGTGGGCGTCGACTCGGTGCGCAGGCGGCGCTCCTCGTGCACGACGTCGCGCTCCGCGTAGAACTCGCGGAACACGGAGTCGTTCAGGCGGTCGGATTCCATCCACGCCCACAGCTCGAACTTGTTGCTCGGGACGTTGATGAAGTAGAAGGTGTGGTCGTTCGTCGTGAACGCGTTCATGCCCGAGCCGCCGTCGGTGGTGTACAGGCGGTCGAACTCGTTCTTGACGATCGTCTCGTTCTTCTGCTCGTCCATGAGCCTCTGCAGCTCGCCGCGGAGCTCCTGCAGACGCGGGGTCGCGTTGTTCGGATCCCACGGATCGTCGATCTCGCCGCGGAAGTAGCGCGGGTACTGGTTCGCGTACATCTCCTCGAGGTACTGCGTGCGCACGGCGCGCTGCTTGCGGCGGAAGGAGGCGTCCTCGTCCGGCGCGGTGGTGCCGACGGTGTCCGTCCCCTTGAACATCATGTGCTCGAAGAAGTGCGAGATGCCGGTGATGCCGGGCCGCTCGTTGACCGAGCCGACCTTGGCGACCCAGCCGGCCGCGATGTTGTTGGGCTGTTCTGATCGCGGGTAGAGCAGGAACTTCATGCCGTTGTCGAGCATGAACTCCTCGACCTCGATCTGCTGCGCCGAGGCGGGGGCCGCGAGGGCCGCCGCGACCGCGAGCGTGGCGGTGAGACGTCTAAGCATGTGGAAATACTCCTCTGTAGGGACTGGGGCCCGTGTCGGGCGGTGCAGGCTGATGAAGGCGTCCCGTCGGCGGGCGGCGCGGACGCACCGCGCCCCGAGTCGACGCCCGGGTCCGGTATTCTACCGAACGCACGCCTCACGGTTTCGAATCCACCCCCACACAGACACCGCACGCCACCATGATCCACCGCCTCGCCGTCGCATCGCTCCTTTCGTTCCTCCTCGTCGCCCCGCCCTTGCCCTGCGCCGTCGCGCAGGACACGCCGCCCCCACAGAGCGAAGCCGGCGAGCCCGAGGCCGCCCCCCGCGCCGACGCCGCCCTCCAGAGCCCGCGCGCGACGATGCGCACCTTCGTCACCGCCATGGCCGCCTGGGACACCGGCGGCGGCCAGGAGGACCTCGCCCGCGCCGTGGAGTGCCTCGACCTCACGGGCGTGCTCTCGCCCGACGAGGTCGGCCCGCGCCTCGCCCGGCGGATGTACGAGGTCATGCAGGACCTCCAGCTCGGGCTCGACCCATTTTCCGCCGTGCTGACGATCACGCGCGAGTTCCCCTCCCGCGAGGAACTCTCGCCCGGCGCCGACCGAGACGTGCGCGAGATCACGCCGCGCGACGGCGCCGACCGCGCCTCGCCCGTCCGGTTCCTCTTCCGGCAGAACGACCAGGGCGAGTGGCTCATCGCGCGCACCACCGTCGAGTGGTTCGACGCCAGGTACGCCGAGCTGCACCCCAACCCCATCGAACGCCTCGCCCGGGACCTGGGCCTGGAGTGGGCCGTCTCCGGCTCCCTCCTCGGGATGAAGTACTACCTCTGGATGGCGATCTTCGCCGTCATCCTCATCGGCGTCGTCATCGACTTCATCGTCCGCGAGATCGCCCGCGTCGCCACGCGCCGCGTCATGCACAAGGACGACCCGGACACCGACGTCAAGGAACAGAACAAGAGCGCCCGCAAGGCCGCCAAGCCCTTCGGCGTCGCCGCCGGCGGCCTCGCCGTCTACTTCCTCCTCGACCTGCTGGAGCTGCCCGCCATCGTCGAGGGCATCCTGCGCACCGGCGCGAAGGCGTTCACGATGGCCGCCGCCATCTGGGCCGCGTACCGCCTCGTCGACGTCGCCTCCGACCACGCCATGCACCGCGCCAAGCAGACGCGCAGCTCCATGGACGACCTGATGATCCCCCTCGTGCGCAAAGCGGTGAAGATCTTCATCGTCGCGTTCGGGCTCGTCTTCATCGCCGAGGCGTTCAGCCTCCCCATCACCTCCCTCGTCGCCGGCCTGGGCATCGGCGGCCTCGCCTTCGCCTTCGCCGCCAAGGACACCATCGAGAACCTCTTCGGCTCCGTCTCCGTCATCCTCGACCGGCCCTTCACCCCGGGCGACTGGATCGTCGTGGACGACATCGAGGGCACCGTCGAGGAGGTCGGCTTCCGCTCGACGCGCGTGCGCACGTTCTACAACTCGCTCGTCACCGTCCCCAACGCCATCCTCGTGCGCGCCAAGGTCGACAACTACGGACGCCGACGCTACCGGCGATTCAAGACCCACCTGAGCCTCACCTATTCCACCGACCCCGCGCGCATCGAGCAGTTCTGCGAGGGTATCCGCGAGCTGATCCGCAGGCACCCGCAGTCGCGCAAGGACTACTTCGAGGTCCACCTCCACCAGTTCAGCGCCGCGAGCATCGACGTGCTCGTGTACATGTTCTTCCAGACGCCCGACTGGTCCGCCGAGCTCGCCGCCCGCCATGGGTTCATGCTCGACATCATCCGCCTCGCGAAGAAGGTCGGCGTCGACTTCGCGTTCCCGACGCAGACCCTCCACCTCTTCAACGAGACCGGATCCCCCGCCATCGAGCCGAAGGACGTCCCCGCCCTCGACCGCGAGGCCCTCCGGACGCGGGGCAAGGCCTCCGCGAACGCCATTTCGGGGGGCTGACGCGGGGACGCGTCGCCTGAGAATTTTTCAAGACCCGCGCGGGAAACCGCCATCGCCGTGCGCGCATCACAGCATTCACACCCCACCAGGAGGCCAGACCATGGCATTCGACATCAACGGAAAAGTGGCACTCATCACCGGCGCTAACCGCGGCATCGGCAAGGCGATCACCGAAACGCTCCTCGCCAACGGCGCCGCCAAGGTCTACGCCGCCGTGCGCAACCCGGAGTCCGCGCAGCCCCTCGTCGATACGTTCGGCGACCGCGTGGTCCCCATCGAGTTCGACCTCACCAAGCCCAAGACCGTCCGCAAAGCCGCGAAGCTCGCGTCCGACGTGAGCCTTGTCGTGAACAACGGCGGCGTGCTCACCAACACCGCCGTCCTCGACGACAACGTCTTTGACAACCTCCAGTACGAGCTGGACGTCAACCTCTTCGGCCTCATCCACACCGCGCAGGCCTTCGCGCCCGTGCTCAAGGCCAACGGCGGAGGCGCGCTCGCGCAGCTCAACTCCGGAGCTTCGATGAAGACGTTCCCCGGCTTCGCGACCTATAGCGCCTCCAAGGCCGCGGCGTACGCCATCACGCAGGGGCTCTACTGGACCCTGAAGGAACAAGGCACCGAGGTCTACTCCGTCCACCCCGGCCCTATCGCGACGGACATGGCGGACCAGGCCGGCATGAACGAGATCGCCGAGCCCGCGTCGCAGGTCGGCGAGGCGCTCATCGACGCGATGCGCAAGGGCGAATTCCACGTCTGGACCGACACCTTGTCGCGTCATGTCGGCGACGAATACAAGGGATTCGCGACGAATATCGTCCTCTCGGACATGAGCGATGCCCCCGCGTAAACGCGACGCGCCCTTCACACAACATTCTCTTGCCAGGCCCACCCTCGCATCGTACGTTCGAGAAGAACCAATTCGGTGCGAGGGTGTTCTCATGAAAACGAAGACCGGTGCGTGCGTGCTCGCTGTCGCGAGCCTGACTCCGTCGCTCCACGCCGAGCCCATCCCGATCGTCAACGCGGGCTTCGAAGCCCAGCCCGCGCCCGCGGGGTGCTTCATCGTCAGCGGCGTGCCGACGGGCTGGGAGGTCTTCGACCCCTTCGACCAGTTTCAATTCGGACTCAACGCGCTGGGCATCATCGACCCCACCGGCACCGACTACTTCCTCCCCGGGCAGATCCCCGAAGGCTCCAACGCCTGCCTCATGTACTGCGAGGCCTCCGTCGGCGGCGGGCCCATGGGCATCCGCCAGCTGCTGGGCGTCGATCTCCAGGGCGGCGTCCGCTACCGGCTCACCGTTGGCGTCGGCAACATCGCCTCGGGCATGAGCCCCGTCCCGCCCTGCCCGGACGGCGCGTTCTACGACATCGACGGCTTCCCCGGCTACGCCGTCCAGCTCCTCGCCGGCGGCGAGATCGTCGACCAGGACGACAACGAGCTCTTCGGCATGATCCCCGAAGGCGAGTTCCGCACGAGCGTGGTCGACGTCAACATCCCCACGGATCACCCCCTCGTCGGCGGCGAGCTCGAGATCCGCCTGCTCAACCTCAACGAGGACGACCCGACCGACGAGGACCCCGGCATCGAGGTCGATTTCGACAACGTCACCCTCGAGATGCTCCCGCTCACCTGCCCGGGCGACTGCGACCAGACCGGCGAAGTCGACTTCAACGATCTCGTCGCGATGCTCTTCGAGTTCGGCGCCCCAGCGCTCCTCGACGAGTGCGACGCGGACAACAGCGGTGGCGTCGATTTCAACGACCTCGTCGCAGCGCTGTTCCTCTTCGGCCCCTGCTGAGTCAGCCCGCCGCGGCGATCTGGTCGTCCGCCTGGATCAGCTCGCACCGGTTCTTGCCGGAGCGTTTGGCGAGGTAGAGCTGCCGGTCCGCGAGCTCGATGAGCCGCGCCGTGGTCATCCTGGCCCGCTCCACCGAGTGCACGGTGCACGCGCCGATGCTCGCCGTTGTCTTGATCGTGGTCCCGTCGTGGTCCACCTCGAGCGATTCGACGCTCCGGCGCAGACGCTCGGCGATCGCCGTCGCGCCCGCGAGGTTCGTGTGCGGAAGGATCACGGCGAACTCCTCGCCGCCGTACCGCGCCACCACGTCGATCCGGCGGGCGCACGACTGGAGCACCCCGGCCGTCGCCGTGAGGTACGCGTCGCCCGCGGGGTGCCCGTAGGTGTCGTTGATCTCTTTGAACCCGTCGAGGTCAAAGAGGAGGAGCGTGATCGGCAGCCCGTCGCGCCGCGCCCGCTCCATCTCCTCGTCGAACCGCTGCGTGAACGCGAGGCGCGAGTACAGCCCCGTGAGCGCGTCCGTCGCGACCTGGCGCGACAGCTCGCGCGTCCTCGTGCGCAGGCGGTTGACCTCCTCGAACGCCGCCCCCGCCATCTCCGCGAGCACGCGCACCGCGTCCTCGCGGATCTGCGACCACGGCGCCTCCGGCATCTGCAGCGCCGTCTCCGCGTCCTCGACCGCGTCCCGGACGATGTGCTCCCACCGGCTCTCGCGCAGATCGGGCGCGACGTGCGTCGGGATCTCCGCCTCCTCGTCGTCCGCGTGGTAGATGCTCCGCGAGGCCTCGTCCGCCACCGCCAGCACCTCCGCGTCCAGCGGGCGCTCGTCCCGCGAGACATGGAACGCGTCTCGAATATTGTTCAGGATCGCCTCGGGCGTGCCGTGCTGCTCGAGCACCTCGATCGTCCGCGCCTGCCAGTAGTCCGCTTCCAGGAACCCGCCGGCGTCGTAGAGCAGCGCCGCGACGGCCGCCAGGTCCGGGTCCACACGCTGCGACACCGCCGCGAGCGCCCGCGCGATCGACGACCGCACATGCGCCCGACGCCACCGCGCCGACATCGATCTCGCCGGCACGTCCTCGTTCGACGCGTTCACGATCGCTCGCACCGCCGCGAAGCGGCACACCGGCACCGTCAGCCGGTCGACCAGCCCGCGGTACGTCGAGGCCCCGTCGAGCGACGCCGACACCGACCGCACCGCGTGGCGGAAGACCGCCAGCGAGAGCGCCGGGTCCATCGCCAGCGTTTTGCGCAGCAGGACCTCGTTCGTCGGCTCTTCCACCGACTCGCGGAGCAGGCGCAGCGCCACGCCGGGGTGCACGGGCATCCCGCTCCACAGGTTGATCCCATGATTCGAAAGTTCGGACACGAGCACCTCTCCGGACCGATCCCGTCGCGCTCGTCCTCGAACGCCCGGTCGTGCTCTGAGCATCGGCCGCTCCGCGCCGCCCCTTGACGTCCGATCCCCGATTATCGGCTTTCCGGAGGGACAAATCCGAGATTCCCCTCCGCCTCCAGCTCCGCCCCCAGGCCCAGCACCACCCGGTTCGCGTACGCGAAATACGCAATAACGCACGCCAGGTCGACAATCGACCTCTCATCCAGCCCCGCCGATCGCAGCGCGTCGATATCGGACCGCCCCACGCTCGACGGCTCGCTCGTCAACCGCTTCGCGTACCCCGCCATCGCCGATTCCCGCTCCGTGAGCCCCGATTCGTCCCCCGCCCACAGCGCCTCGACGAGCCCGTCGCGCTCACCCCTGAGCAGCCGACGGAGCCCCTCCCCGTGGTGGCGGGCGCAGTAGCGGCAGCCGTTCAGCCGGCTCACGATCACCGCCACGATCTCCCGCTCGGCACGAGACAACGGCGACGGGCGATGCATCGACGCGATGTACACCTCCAGGTGCGCGTGGAGCGACTCCGGGTTCAGCGAGTGCACCTTCAGGACGTTGTCCACGCTGCCGTCCGGGTTCCCGCCCCGCTTGTACAGCTCCGCGAGGCGGCCCGTGGCGTCCGATTCCGCGATCATTTCGACGTATGACATCCCCCGATCCTACCGATACCATGACACCATGAAGCGCACACTCGCCACCGCCGCCGCCGTCTCGATCGCCCTCGCCGCCGGGTGCACCCAGGGCACCGAGTCACGCGTCACCATCGGCCAGAGCCAGACGCTCGCCGCGATCTCCGCGGACACGGCGCCGATGACGCCCGCGACCGGCCCCAGCCTCAACGGCCTCGACCGCTCGCACTGGGTCATGCCCGGCGTCCGCGTCGTCCCCGACGGCTCGCGCGCCTGGTTCTGGCGCGTCCACCAGGAGCAACGCGCCGGCGGCGCCCACCCCACGGCCCTCTCCGCCCTCGACGCCGAGGACACCTACACCCTGATCGACCTCGTCGGCGTCCCCATCCGGGACGTCGTCGGCGACGGCATCCTCCTGCCCTTCCGGGGCGCCGCGGCCCTGATCTGCGAGCACCCGGCCGAGCAGGCGAGCCGCTACGAGCGCTACACCACCGGCGCCTGGCGCGTCACGCCGTGAGCGAGACGCCGCTGGACGAGCAGGGCATGCCACCGGGCAGCCGTCTGAACACCGAATTCGAGGTCACCCCGCGCACCGCCCGCGATCGGGCCGCGAAGGACGCGATTCTGCTGGACTGCCGTCGCGACGACGAGCTCGCCATCGCGAGCATTGGCGGGGCGGAGCACGTCCCGCTCGACCAGATCGAGGCGCGGATCGAGGACGTCCGCGACCTCGCGGAGGAGCGCGACGTGATCGTCTTCTGCCACCACGGCGTCCGCTCCCTGCGGGCCACCACGTTTTTGCGCGCGATGGGCGTGCCTAACGTGTGGTCGATGGCGGGCGGGATCGATCTCTGGTCGCGCGCGGTGGACGAGACGGTCCCCCGCTACTGACGCGCGACTCGAAGGCGATGCCTCAGTTCACATCCGGCAGTCGGAACCGCAGGAGCACCCGGGGGCGGTCCGTCGGCTCGCGGACATTCGACCGGTCGAGCACGAGCAGGTAACGCCGGTCAAAGGCCGGCTCGAGCTCGAGCAGCGCCTCCTCCGGGTTCCCCGCGGGGATCGTGATCCGCTCGATCTCGTCAGGGTCGTACCCGCGGATGACCGTCCACGCCAGGAACACGTCCGACCGCGTCGTCACCATGTTGGAGACGGCGCTGAAGATGCGGTTGCGCTCCTCGGGGTCGTCGATCGGGTCCATGCCGTTCGTCCCGGGCGTCGGGTCGAGGAAGTTCCCGCCGAGCGGCAGGAACCCGCCGACGCCGGCGCCGTCGTTGACGGTGTTGCTGCCGAAGAAGCCGAAGCCGTTGGTCGCGTTGGAAACAGCGCCCGTCGCGGGGTCCCACAGATCGAGCAGCGACAGCTCGCCAATCGCGGTGATGCCGGCGTTGTCGCGCCCGGTCGCGGGGCTTCTGGAGTTCCGGAGGCTGGCGCCGAGCCCGGTCGGGTTGACGTTCCCGACTTGAGTGAAATCGGGGGACGGGCGGGTGTTCGAGCTCACTTCCGGGCTCGCGACGCGGTCGCGGTACTCCACGATCATGTTCGCGCGCCGACTCGCCACGCCCACGCCCGATGGCAGGACCGTCCCGTCCGGCGCCATGTACGTCTGCGCCGGCTTCACGAACGGGAGCAGTTCGAGCACACGGGCACTCGCCGTGTTGACGTTGATCACGCCCTGCTTGATGTCCGCGAGCGTCGAGAGCGCTTCGAAGCAGTCGTACACGCGCGTGGCGAGGGGGACGGTGAGGTTGTCGGGGATCGAACCGCTCGCCGGCAGAATGTTCTCGAGGTCGCCGTCGCCGGACGCGCCGTCGAACATGTACCGCGTCGGGTCGAGCGTAGCGAAGTACGGATCAGCAACGCCGCTGCGCAGCATGCCCATCGCCAGACCCATCTTCTCTGAGGCCGTCAGCCAGTTCTCGAGCAGCGTCAGGTTGTGACCCGAGCATGTGTGCGCAAAGATCGAGAGCTGCCCGATCTCCGCCACCGTGTTGAGCGGGCTGTCCGGCACGTAGAGTTGGAAGCTCGGCACGGTGCCAACGGTCGACGCCGAGCCGATGCTGTTCTCGTCCAGCACGTGCTGGCGGGTCCCGGACATGAGTGAATTGCGGAGGATGGACGGGGCGTTGGAAGAATTCCCCTCTTGGAAGAGATAGAGCACCGGTGACTCGCGCGGGTGCAGCGCGGCTGCCGGCTCGGGCGCGCCGACCGGTGCCGGCAACGTGAACCAGATCTGACCGAAATAGCTCCGCTCCGCGGGGTCGTTCTGAATCGGCGTGAACCCCGGAACCGTGTTTGTCGGATCGAAAATCGTGAGCAGGTTGTCCGAGGGACGCTCGATCACGGTGGTCGGCCACCCGCCATTCAATCCGACTTGCTTCGGACGCGAGAGGCTCGACATCACCATGATGCGGCCGCTGATCTCCGGCGGGAGATCGTCTCGATCTTCCATCGGGTGGTCAGGATCGAAGAAGAAATTCAGGAGATCGGAATCGTTGAATGGGGAGGCGCCGATGTCTTCGTGCAGGTTGACGGTCGTACCATTCGGGATCACAGCCGGGAAGACGTTCCCCGGATCGGTGCGCAAACGGTCGATGACCAGCCATCGCATGGGGATGCCGGTGGAATCGCCGGTCGTGTTGGAGGCCTGTGTTGTGTCGTTCACATCGCGGGTCAAGCTGCGCACGAGGAGCACCGGCAGCGCGTCCGCCGTGTTTCGCTGGAACATCACGTTCGTGTACGACACCGTCGCCATCGGGTTGTTGGTCGGTCCGGGAGCGAACGGGATCATCGGCAGACCCGCGTCGTTCTGGATCGCCTGGATGAGCGCCGTCTCGATCTCCTGACCACCGACGAACTCGCCGCGCCACGGCGGCGCGTCCACGCCGACCGACCAGTAGAAAATGACCTCTTGACGCGCGTCGATCGTGGCCGAAGGCAACACGAAACGCAGATCGAGGGAATCCTCCGGGATATTGGTGTTCCCGAGCTGCGGACGGGTGTTCCCCGTCGGATCCGTCGGGATGACGATCTGGAAGCTGTTGTCGACCTGGATCGCCTTCGGCCAGGGATTGAAGAGCTTGACCGCGAAAAACGAGCCGAGTTGATCGGTATCCGGATCGATGATGCCGTCTTGCACCGCACCCGCAGAATCGCCCGCCGAGTCCGTGTAGAACGCGAAGGAGACCGCGTCCGTGATGAACGGCTGCGCTTCGAGACCGACGACGGTCAGGCCGTCGTTGGTGATCTGGTTCTCGGCCGTCATCCCGTCGAAGCTGTCGAGGAAGCTCTCCGCGTCCATATCCATAACGGCTTCACCGAAGAAATCGCCGACCTGCATCCCGTTCGCCGGGCTGTGGAAGGGATTGACCTCGCCGTGCGCCATGTTCAGGCCGAGTTCGATCGGGAGCGTGTTCACGTTGTCCGTGAACTCACGACGGCCGTCCAGCCGGTTCTGACGCGGGAGCACGCGCAGCACGGTCGGGAAGTCCACGTTGATCATGTCCGTCGGATTGTCGTCGCTGTCCATCGCGTCGATCAGGTTCGCCGTCAGCGATGCCGCGGTCATGAGCGCGACGCTCGGCCCCGGGTCCGGAATGTAGGGCGAGAGGTCCTGGGGATTGACGAACAGCAGTTCCGCGAGCCAGCTGCCGGGCATGGAATTGCCGCCGCCGTAGTGGAATATCGAGGGATTGCCGTAGTTCGCGGGGTCGAACAGGTTCGCCCGCGCCTCCGCCAGCTCCGACGTGTACGGCTGGTCCGTCGCGAACGGCGCCAGCGCCCACGTGAACGCCTCGAACACCGGGCGCACTGTCTCGCCCGTGATGCTCGACCGGCCGTTGGTATCCCGGTCGTTCGACGCGTCGGCCAGCTCGCGGAAGTTGATCTTCTCGCGGAACTGCACCGACCGGAACTCCTCGCTGTTGTTCAGCACCGGCACCGGCGAGAAGTTCCCCACGCCGGAGATCGTCGTGATCGAGTTCCGCACCGCGCTGCGCAGCTCGGTGATGTCCGGCTCGGGGTTGGTCGCGTCGTAGACGCGCTGCGTCGCGGGGTCCTGGAGCGAGGCCATCGGGCCGAAGGGGCCCGAGTCGAAGTCGCGGTAGTCCGCGAGCGTGCGCGGGTACAGCGGGTTGGATTCCGGGCCGTCGAGGCGCTGCTCGACCTTGGACACCGTCGAGATGTGGTTCGTGCCCCAGAACGCCATCAGGTCGTAGACGTCGCGCATCGGGTACGTGATGTCGCCCTCGAGGTCGTTCTCCTGCGGCGCGTTGCCCACGAAGTCGTAGTACGCCGAGCGCAGGTTCCGGTTGGGCACCTGCACCGCGTAGTTCGTGCCCAGGTCGCCGTTCACGTCGTCGATGTACGGCAGCGCCAGCGCGCTGGGCATCCCCATGAACCCGAGCGACGGCTCGGCGATCTCCTCGAAGATGCTCAGATCAGACGCCGGGCGGCCGAACTCCGTCAGCCCCAGCCCCAGCGGCAGGTGCGAGCGCCGGTACGCGTCGCCCAGGCGGGAGACGTCGACGAGTTCGTTCGCGTAGTAACCCGGGCCGTCCGCGGCGCGGCTCAGCAGGCGGAACAGGTCGATGTCCGCCGGCGTGTGGCCGAAGGCGATCTGGTCGTCCACCGCGCCGGACCCGAAGCCGTCGAACGCGATCGACGAGTTCACGTTCACGAGCGAGGACGCGTCGATGATCCGCGTGCCCACCACCCAGACGAGGTTGCCCAGGCTCCCGAGCGAGTCGAACTGCTGCCAGCGGGCGTCCGGGCGCAGGTCGCCGTCGGTGTCCACCCACCAGCGCTCGTCGATCGCGTCGTACTCCCCGTCGCCGCTCGTGGGCGTGACGAGGACGCGCGGGACGATGCTCCCGCTGCTCGCGGCCCGGAAATTCGGCGTGCCGGGGACGCTCTCGGCCATGTACCGCATCTGCACGTCGTACACCGCGGTGCGGAGTCGCGTGTTCGCGTCGCCGCCGACCGTCTCGGTGTTGAGCATGCCGCCGTTGGTGTGGCCCACGCTCCCGTACTCCGGGTCGACGACGCTGATGTCGCGCCCCGCGTCGCCGAACATCGTGCTCGGCGGCGCGATCTGGTTCGCGAGGTTCGTGCTCGTGTTGAAGAACTCGGCGAGGTCCGCGAAGCGGCCGTGGTCGCGCACCCAGAGCTGCACGTCCTGGTTCCGCTCGCGCTCCACCCAGTGGTAGGCGCTGCGCAGGTTCGTGATGTTCCGCCACACGATCAGCGGGTTGAGCGTCGCCTCGGTGATCGTCGGGTCGTGGTACTCCGGCTCCGTTGTCGCCAGCCACGCGTCGTCGGGGGGCGCCGTCTCGAAGCGGCGGCCGATCCGCGTCGTCGTGCTGAGCGACATCACGTCCATGTCCTCCTCGAGCACGAAGCCGTCGCCCGGCATCGGGACGTTCGGGGGCGAGGCCGGGTCGCCGTAGAAGCGGCTGTCGAAGCTGTAGCGCGAGGCCGACGCCGGCGGCTGGTTCAGCGCGATGTCCAGCGCGTCCACCATCGGGTAGTCGGAGAACTCCATGTCCTCGAACATGCGCGGGCGCACGCGGACGCCCTCGTTCCCCGCGCCGAGGAACTCCGGCGTCGAGGGCGTCACGACCTTGTTCCCGAAGAGGTCGGCCGCGAGGACCGCCTTGATCTCGTTCGAGACGATGTCGATCGACTCGCCCAGGTTGGACTGGCTCGTGACCGCCGCGGCGGAGTTGCGCTCGATGCGCACCACGCTCACGTACGACACCGCGACGATCGCGATGACGGCGAGGGCGCCCACCGCGAAGATGAGCACCGTCCCGCGCTTGTCCCGGCGTGCGAATCGGCTTGTGGTGTTGCTGCGTGTCATGTCGTTACCTCGGGTCGACCCGCACCACGAACTCGAAGGTCTTGCCTTCGCGGAGCACGAGCTGCGAATCATGGAGCGTCATCCGGATGCGGATGTGCGTCGGTTTCGGGAAGGGTCGGTCGAAGGTGTAGCCCGCGGTGCGGCCGCCGCTCTCGGAGAGCAGGCGGAAGGGGAAGATCGCGAGGTACTCCTCGTCGTCGTTGTCGGCGAACTCGTCGTCGCCGGTCGCCCCGCCGGTGCGCAGGGGGTCGTAGGTGTTCGAGATGGCGCCGCCCATCGCGTTCGCGTCGATGTTGAGCCGCAGCCCGCGCTCGCCCGCCACGCCCGGGAGGCCGCTCCAGGACGTGCGGAAGATCGGCGGGTCCGACGCGCCCGACGAGGGCGCCTCGCCCGGCAGGATCTCGGGGTCCTGGAAGATCCGCCCCGGCGTCCGCAGGCTGTACCGCGGCTGGATGAGCCACAGGTCGCGTCGGGTGAAGTTGTAGTCGAACCAGATGCGGTCGCCCGGGTTGATGTCCTCTTCCACGGGCCGGTAGAAGTTGTTCGAGAAGGTCGTGCTGGAGACCGGCGTCACGGAGTTGTCCCAGCGTGAGCCGTCGGACCAGGCGATCTCGAACCGCGAGCAGCGCGGCGCGAGCGTCGCGTGCAGGTCCATCAGCGCGTCCTCCGGCGCCGTCGACGACGTCGACGCCGACGCGAGGTCCACCACGCGGTCCACGTCCGGCGGGTCCGTCTCGACGAGCAGGCGCGTGAAGCACCCGGCGATCGCCGTCTGGATCTCGCGGAGGTTGTTCTGCAGACGCAGGTTCAGCCCGGCGGGGCTGTCGACGAAGAACCGGATCCACAGCGGCTCGTCGCGCTCGTCGCTCGTGCTCGAGTCCGTGACCGCGCCGCCCGGCGTCGTCGGCGCCACGTCCCACGCCCCGCCGCTCCACGCCGTCGCGTCGACGAACGGCGCGTTCGTGAAGGGCGTGCCCACCGGCGGCAGCGGCAGCGCCGCCTGCGCCCCCTCGAGCCAGCGCTTCGCCTCCTCGAGCGACTGCGCGCAGATGTCCGTCCGCCCGTGGCGGATCAGGCGCGGGTTGGGCAGGTCCTCGGGGACCACCGGCGTCGGCGCCTGGAGCGCGACGTCCGTCGGGCCCGGGTCCGGGTCGCGCTCCGTGATCACGAAGCGGTTCTCGGATTGCAGGTCGCGGATGTACGGCGCGTACTCGCGCTGCGTGCCGATGATCGAGCTCGGGCCGCTCGGACCGCCCACCGACGGCCGGCCCATGATGGTCCCGCCCTCGTCGTGCAGCAGCAGCGCCTGGCGCGCCAGCGGCCAGTCCCCCGCGTAGCGGTTGCGCTCGTCGTCGGAGATCTGGTCGGTGTCGACCGCCCCGCCCGTGCCGTCGATCGTCTCGTAGCTGATGCCGTTGCCGACCCCGAAGATGTTGTCCCGGTTCGCCTCGTCGCGCGGGGCGCCGAAGTCCCCGTCCGCCACACGCACGAACGGCGTGTTCGGCTCCAGGTCGCGCGGCTCGGGCACCGGCCGCAGGCCGTGACCGTAGTAGATCCGCGCGTACCGCGAGCTCACCACGCCCGGCACGAAGACCGTGCCCGTCGTCGTGTTCAGGACGTTGTTCGGCTCCTTCTCGTAGGAGACGAACGCGTCCTCCGTGGACTGCCCGATGAACATGATCTCGTCGAGCCGCGTCTCGGGGATGATCCGCGAGAAGGGCGTGCCCACCGTGCCCTCGCGCAGGTCCGCCTCCATGTCATCGCGCGAGAGGTAGACGTCCGTCACGATCCGGTTGCGAATCGCCAGGAACGTGTCCTCGGCGCGCATCGAGTTCATCGCGTCGAAATCGTCGCGGATCTGCCGCTCGATCGCCCGCGCGAGCTGGTCGACCTCCGCGATCGCCGAACCCTGCGAGACGATGTTCCCGACGCTCTGGAACACCTGCCCCACGCCGAACGTGAGCAGCAGCGCGGCGCCGATCGCCACGACGAGCTCCGCGAGCGTGAAGCCGCGGGACCGGGGGGACCGGGGGGACCGGGGGGACCGGGGGGACGGGGTCCGGGTTGTGCCTGTGCGTGTCATGTCAGTTGTCCTCGAACAGGAGCACCGGCTCGATCGAGATGCCCTCGAGCGCCCACGTGGAGCCGTCGCGCGATTGCACGCGCGGCTGCACCGCCCAGACGGCCACGTCGCGCTCCTCGTTGATGTTGTTGAGCAGGATCCGCCGGCGGTTCCGCGGCGCCCGATTCAGGTACCCGCGGAACGGGCCGTCGTCGTCCTCCTGGACGAACGACTCCACCGTCGCCGAGATCTCCGAGCCCTCCGTCGGGCCGCCCGTCGCGTCGCCCTGCACGAGCAGCACCGTGCCCGGCTCGACGACCCAGCGGTCGCTCGGCATGTCCACCTCGATGTAGTACTGCTCGCGCGACTCGTCGTCGTCGAAGCCCAGCTTGACCGTCACGCGGCGCAGCGGCCCGAGCGACGAGTCGCCGCCCGAGATGTTCCCGGCGTACACCGACGTGAAGTCCTCCTGGGGCTCGAACGTCGAGCCGGACTGCGTCTGCCGGATCTTGTACGTCGCCGCCATCACCTCGGTCAGCCCGACCGCGCTGCGCCGGAACAGGAGCGAGTAGCCCAGGTCCGCTACGCGCTCGCCCTTGCTGTTCGTCGTGTGCACGATCCGGTCCGCGAGCGAGACGAGCCGGGAGCGGCGGTACTGGAACGGCGAGGGGATCACGATCCGCTCGACGCGGGGCTGGAGGAAGCCGAAGGCCCCGGGGTTCGAGAAAAGCGGGTTTGTGAAGTCCGCGATGTTCGCCCGGATGGTGCCGTCCTCGGGCGTCTCCTGCAGGTCGATGCGGATGAAATCGTGCCCGGGGTTGCCGCAGTCGGGTTGATCCCAGAGCTGGCGGTTGCAGGGCCCGCCGCTGCCGAAGACGAGGTTGCCGCCGTGGTTCGGCCCGATGTAGTACGCGCTGTTGCCGTAGGTCGAGCCGGTGCCCACGAAGGCGAGGTCGTAAACGAATTCCGTCGGGTTGCTCGTGTCGCCGGTGGCGGGGTTGTACTCCACGATCGTCACGATGACCGAGGTGAGCGAGCACGCCTCGAGGCGCCGGTCGTCGAAGTCCATGCTCGCGCCGGAGAACTGGCCGCTGCCCGCGCCGTTGCAGAACGCGCCGGGCATGCCCTGCGCGTAGCTCGTCTGGGAGCCGGAGTAGATCTCGAACGGCACGTACGCGTTCGTGTCCGCGAGGAAGAACAGCCCGCCGACGGAACCGCTCGACGCGCGGGGGACGAGCTCGGTCTGGTCCAGGTTCGGCCCCACCGAGGTCATCGGGTACCAGATGTCCGGCATCAGGTTGCTCAGCGCGCCGGTGAGGGGGTCGTCGTCGATGTCCGTCAGGCGGCCGACGTTCGGGCCGATCAGCGCCTGCGCGTTCCGCGTCACCTGGAGCGAGCGCGTCGCGTCGGTCGCCTCCTGCTGCTGCCGGGCCGTGCCCGCGAACAGCGCGAGCAGCCCGAGGATGCCCAGGCCCAGGATCACCGTGGCCATCATGACCTCGATGAGCGTGAACGCTCGCACGATCCGATGCTGAATGGGGCGTCTCATATCAGTTCGCCCTCCGAACGATGTTGCCGGTGTAGCGGTTGAAGGAAATGATCTCGGCGTTGTCGTCGATCCAGTCGCTCACGGCGATCGTGGTCTCCTCGAGGTAGTACGGGCCCGCCATCTCCAGGTCCGCCCGCACGGGCGCCACGTCGAAGCCCATCGTCCCGTCCGCCGGCCGCACGAACCAGACATCCTGGATGCCCATGAGCTCCGGCACGCCCCGGCGCAGCTCGTCGAGCGAGACCACCGCGAGCTGCGCCGCGTTGCGCAGGACGACCTCCGGGTTCTCCTGCGCGTCGGCCGGGGAGCCAAGCTCAATCCGGTTCTCGGGGTCGAACGCGTTCGCGTCGTCGTACGGCGTGAACTCGCCCGTCGACGGGTCGATCGTCCCGTTCCGCTCGTCCTGCGGGCGGTCGGGGTACTCGATGTACGCCGTGAAGTGGTCGATGCCGGCGCCCGGGTACGAGTCGACGACCGTCCCCTCGGGGGAGAACTGGATCATGAATGACTGCGCGTGGCGCAGGGCCGTGTCCGCGTCGTTGGTGTTCGTGCCCGAGCGGATCGCGTCGTACGGGTCCTCGCCGTCCTCGTAGAAGTGGCGCGGGTCGTTCCGCGGGAAGATCCACGGGCGCACCAGGTCCCCCGAATTCATGAACAGCTCGCCCGCGTACCAGTGGCGCGTCGGGTCGATCCCGCCCGCGCCGTTGTCGATCAGCGAGCCCGCCGGCTCCGTCAGGAACGAGAACCCGTACACCGCCACGCCCTTGGGCAGCTCCACCGGCACCGTCGCCTGCGCCGGCCGGTACGCGTGCGCCCGCGTCGCCGGGTTGGCGGACGAATACAGCGTCAGCGACCCGCCCGCGTCCGAGAGCAGCTCCAGCGGCAGCAGCGTGTACGTCTCCGTCTCCGTGTCGAAGAGGAACGCCACCGCCGTGAACTCGTTGTTCTTGATCGCCAGCGCCCGGGCGTTGCCCAGCGTCGCCGTCACCGTGTTCACCGCCGCGGCGAAGTTCGACGACTCGATGATCCGCCCGAAGGCCGGGATCACGATCGCCGTCGCGAGGATGATGATCGAGATCGTGATGAGCATCTCGAAGATCGTGAACGCGCGGCGCAGGATCCCCGCGGGCGCGCCGTGTCGCGCGGCCTCGGTGCCTCGGGTTGTCTCGCGTCGGTTCGTCATGGCGCCGTTCAGTTCGTCAGGAGGGCCGAGATGATGGTGAATTCGACGTCGAACTCCGTGTCCACGTCGTACGAGTACAGGTTGTCCGCCCGCGCCGCTTGGAGCAGCGACGAGGCGTTGTTCTGGTCCGCTTCCGGGTACGCCGCCGCGATCAGCTCCAGCTCGGACGGGTGCCCGTAGAGCTTGTCCGGCCCGGCGCTCATGAAGTACGGGCGGCCGTTGAGGCACCGGCCGTACACGTCCTGCGCGAGGCGGTTCTTGGGGTGCACGTAGTAGACGAACTGCTGCACGCCTTGCGCCGGCTGCTCGCCCCGCCACGTCGGCTCGCCCCACGCGTCGATGACCGAGGGCTGGTCCTTCGCCCGCGCGTCCTGATCGCTCTCGATCTGGCCACCCCGGAGCGTGAGCACCAGGAACCGCTCGGGGATCGCCTCCAGGATCGCCCGCACGGTGTCGAAGCCCTGCGACTGGCGCAGGAACACCGCCGCGTCCGGGCGCACCGGGTACCCGTCGCTCAGCGTGGGGATGTCGTTGTACGGGTCCGCGAACTGCCCGAAGCCCTCCGGGGTCATCGTGCTCAGGCCCGGGACGTCCTCGTACAGCAGGTTCAGCTGGTCCTGCTCGAGCGGGAACGCCGGGATGCCGCCCGTCACCGCGATGAACTCCTCCAGGGCCCGGTCGAGCGACTGCAGCACGTTGAGCGTGATCCGCTCGCGCTGCGCCGAGATGATCCGGATCCCCGCGCCCGCGATGATCGTCACCAGGATCGCCAGCACCGAGATCACGATCAGCAGCTCGAGCAGCGAGAAGCCGAAACGACGCCGGGTTGTGTCACTCGTCATGCGCATCACCGCTGCCCCCGCTTGATGTTGGACTCGAGGAACGGCTTGGTGCCGGTCCAGATCGGCTCGACCGGCGACGAGAAGATCGACGACAGGCCGGTGTTGTCCGGCTCGACGTACATCGTCGCGCCAGAGGACTCGTCGAACGTCACGTCCCCGAACGCCTCGAGCGGCCGGCCCGAGGGCGACTGGATGAACTCGAGCCGCTCCGCGCCGGCGGAGACGAGCATGTACTCGCTCGTGAACAGGTCGCGGTTCGCCGTCAGGCTCAGGTCGTCGCCGAACTCGATGTGCGCCGCGAGGTTGCTGAAATCCAGCAGCTCGTACGGGATGTTCGCGACCGACTGCACGCGGTCGCCCGAGTCGTAGAGGAACTTGGGCCAGTAGCGGTAGTACCGGATCGGCGAGTCGTACGCGTCGTGGATGCGGTACATCCCCGTCAGCGGGTCGACCTGCAGCTCGTCGCCGAGCGACGCCACGTCGAGGTACGGCCCGAAGACGCGCCCCGTCGTCTCGGCGTCGTGGTTCGCGCGGTCCGCCGCGCCGCCCCAGGACTTGTCCCGCCCCGGGTTGCGGATGCCCGCGCCCTCGGCGCCGTCGTCCATCGCGGTCGACGGGAAGACCCCGTTGATCCCGGCCCCCGCGTCGCCGTCGATGTCGCCCATCCCGATGAGGTACGCCGTGAGCGAGTACTCGCTCAGGTACCGCGCGTCGCGCAGCGCCTCCTGCGGGTCCGCCTGCGCCTCGGGCACGATCGTCTCGGAACGGGACGAGGGCATCCCGACCTGGAACTCGTACGACGAGTTGTTCGGCACGAGCAGCGGCGGCGCGTAGCCCGTGTCCTTCTCGAACACCTGCACCGCCTGCTCGATGTTCTTGAGCAGCCGGTCGCAGATCGAGCGCCGCGCCTCGTCGCGCACGCGTCCGAACGACACGATCACGATCGTGAGCAGCACCGCGATGATCGAGACCGTCACGAGGACCTCGAGCAGCGTGAAGCCGCGCCGGGTTGGGGTGGTGAGCGTCTTCATCCCTGCAGGCTCTCGATCATGGCGACGAGCGGGAGGAACATCGCGATCACGATGCCGCCGATCACCGTGCCCAGCACGAGCACCAGCATCGGCTCGATCAGCGCGACCAGCGAGCCGACCGCCACGTCGACCTCCTCGTCGTAGTTGTCCGCGATCTTCAGCAGCATGGTGTCCATGTCGCCCGTCTCCTCGCCGACGTCGATCATGTTCACCACGATCGGGTCGCACACCTTGCTCTCGCGCAGCGGGCCCGCGAACGACTCGCCCTCGCGGATCGAGTCGTGCACGTTGCCCAGCGCCTTCTCGAAGACGTAGTTGCCCGACGTGTCCCGCGTGATGCTGATCGCCTCGAGGATCGGAACGCCGGCCGCGATGAGCGTCCCGAGCGTCCGCGTGAACCGCGCGACCGTTGTTTTCTTGATGAGCGTCCCGATCACCGGGATGTTCACGAGGATGATGTCCGTGATCGCCTTGCCCGGCTTCGTCTTCCGGATCAGCTTCCAGAAGATGATGAACAGCGGGATCGAGAACACCACGTACACGATCCCCGGCACCGGCATCGCGCCCTCGGTCGGGTAGTTCCCCGCCATCCAGCTCGACGCGTTGATCAGCATGAGCGTCGGGCCCGGGAGCTCCACGCCGAAGTCCGCGAAGATCTCCGTGAACTTCGGGATGATGTAGTACATGATGCCCGAGACGATGCCGATCGCCACGATGATGACCGCCGACGGGTAGATCATCGCGCCCTTGACGCGACGCTTCAGACGCTCGGCCTTCTCCATGAACTCGCTCAGACGCTGCAGGATCACGTCCAGCACACCGCCGATCTCGCCCGCGTTCACCATCTTGCAGTACAGGTTGTTGAACGCCTTGGGGTGCTTCGCCATCGCCTCGGACAGCGACGAGCCGCCCTCCACGTCCTCCACCACGCCGCTCAGCACGTTCTTCAGCAGGCCCGGCTTCAGCTGGCTCTCCAGGATCTGCAGCGACCGCAGCAGAGGCAGGCCCGCGTCCTGCAGCGTCGAGAGCTGACGCGTGAACGTCGTGAGCTGCTTCGGCTTCACGCCGCCGATCGTGATCGCGCCGCCCTTCTTCTTTTTCTTGCCCGTCGGCACCGCGAGCAGGTCCGTCGGGCCGCCGGATTCCTCCTTGGCGCCGCCCTTGGCCTTCTTCGTCTTCTGCTCGCGCACCGTCGTCGGGAAGAAGTCCTGCATCCGGAGGCGTTGGATCGCGTCTTCGCTCGTCGCGGCCTCGATCGTGCCTTTTTGCTTCTTGCCCGCTTTGTCGAGCGCTTCGTACTGGAACGTCGCCATGTCTCTGCTCCGTTGGTCAACGGTGCCGGGCGACTCGCCCGGCGGTTGGAAGGCCGTACCCCCGCGAGGCCCGCTCTCACGAGGCCCGCGGCATCTCCGAATCGATCAGCCCGTCACTCACTCTTCCTGGATCGTCTCCCGGACCACTTCGTCGATCGTGGTCAGGCCCTCGTAGATCGTCAGCAGGCCGGACTCGCGCAGGGTCCGCATCCCGCGCCGCCGCGCCTCGTCGCGCATGACCGAGGTGCTCGCGCTGTTCATGATGAGGTCGCGCATCGTGTCGTCGACCGTCATGATCTCGAACAGGGCGCTCCGGCCCTTGTACCCCGACCCGTGGCAGTTCTGGCAGCCCCGCCCGCGGAAGAACGTCCGCCCCGACACATCCTCCGGCGTCAGGTCCAGCTCCATGAGCTGCTCCTCCGTCGGCGTGTACTGCTCCTTGCACTTCGGGCAGATCGTCCGGACCAGCCGCTGCGCCACGATCGCCTCGAGCGTCGCCGTGAGCAGGAAGTTCTCCAGCCCCAGGTCCAGCAGACGCACGACCGAGCTCGGCGCGTCGTTCGTGTGGAGCGTCGAGAACACGAGGTGGCCCGTGAGCGACGCCTGCACCGCGA